TTGAAAATTTTTAATAATCTATAATATATCCTAGACAGATAAATCGTCTTCGCTCAGAATCGTTTTTCGTATACAATGATATAATATCATTGGATTAAAATTTAATTCCATCCATCACAGTAACCCACTTGTAACCTACTGTACAGCAGAGCGACATACACGACTTACCCGCTTTTTTACTATTTATTATATTGTTTAATAATTAAAAATTGTTAACGACCCAACTTGATCGTAAGTCCTTTCAATTGAACAATAATATTGTAACAGCTTATAAAATAATATTAACATTAATATGATTATTTTTATAGCAATTAAAATAATATTATACAGCCATATAACATTTAAATGTTTAACGATTCATATAGTTTATACATTTTATTTTTTTATCATTTTAAACTTTTAAGATTCTGTAAATCGCCCATTGCCCACAAAGAACTTTTAGGTTTTAAACTTTAAACTTTATTCATAATCTAACATTTTAACTATAAAACGGTTTTTACATAAGATAATTATTAATTACGTCATATCCATACATAAAGTCCATCTGAAACTTATAGCATTTAAAAATAATAGCAAACGCTTTTATTTGTTTTCTGAATTGTTTTGTAAAAGGACGTTATGTGGTACCTATTTACCATAGTCTATAGAAAATAGCTTTATATTATTTATGTGCTTGATTTACTTGACTTTGAGCACCTAATTACTTAAAATAAAATGTATAGTTCCTCGATTAATATGAAAATTTTAATATTTCGTTCGTTCTGTAAAAGGGATGTGATGTCTAGTGGAGGAAATGCTGTTGATGCTGCTATAGCTACGATGATATGTGACGGTGCTCTATGTCCTCAATTTAAGGGTTTAGGTGGAGGATTTTTAATGAGTATATACAATGCTACAACCAAAAAAGTAATGTCAATTGACGCACGTGAAACAGCACCATCAGGGGCAACTCAGTCGATGTTTGTAAAAGAACCTAAAAATTCTGTTTACGGTAGGTACCTTATAAAAGTTATGAACATGAATAAAAAATAAAAATCTATATTTTATCTATGTTAATACCGATATTATCAATCAATATGAAAATAAATATTAAGCATACAAATTTGTGTTMATTATTTTAAAATTAAATTAATGTTTCTAAAAACTATGTATATTAAATATGCAAGTTTTTAAACATCTTATTTGGATAATTGTATTCATTTTTAAACTAAAAAATATGTAGGTGGTTTGGCAGTTGCAATTCCGGGAGAACTTAAAGGTTATTCGACCATCTATAAATTATATGGTGGCCAAGTATCATGGTCATCACTATTTGAACCAACTATAAAATTATGTGAAGAGGGCATGGTAATCAACGAACGCTTAGGGTCAAGTTTAAAGAATGAAGAAGATTTAATCAAAAATGATCCCATGCTCAGGTACAATGAAAGCCAATACTATTTGTTATGTGCTTACCTATGTAAATACCTATTAATTCTTAACAAAACCAACTATCAAACTAACTAATACAAACATTTAATTGTATTTGGACTTATGGTCTTAAAATGAATCATTGAATATTGTTAGATATTTAAATAACATTAAAGTGATTCAGAAAAAAAATTAGGATACAGATTACAGATGCCAGAGCTTATTGCCCCGATACCATTGGTTCGTATTTTCARTTGAATTCCAAGCTTTCTATATTTTTGACAGATTCGATGATTGTTATTAATTAGCCATTAGTAAATTTGATATAATTATTGAGGAAAACCATTCATTTACTATCATACATTTACTAGTAGACATTAAACACATATGTTCTAAATTGCAAAATCAAATAATTGAAAAAACGGTTTCTTAGAAAATCGTTCTTTAACGAACATACTGGAAATGTAAAGATAGCTGGAGAAATGTACACGTTACCAGAATTAGCAGAAACTATGAAAGTCATAGCAAAAGAAGGTGGAGATGCTATATACAATGGTTCGTTAACGAAACAATTATTAGAAGACTTAAAAACAATAAATGGAATAATCACAGAAGAAGATTTAGCCAATTATAAGTGAGTATGATAATAAGATTTTATATGCTTTCTAATTATTAATTTAAACTTTTGGTAATATTTTTGATTATCTTAATTAGTCAATATAAATATACATAATATTATCAGTTAAATTAATTACTTATGACTAATTGGAACAAAATTAAAAGTTTGAGGCTATTTCAGTCTTGAACGAATTAGATCCCATTGATAGAATGTACGAAATAGTTCAAAAACCAAACGAAACTAAACATTAAACATTTTCAGGGTTGAAGTCAAAGAATCATTTTCTGTGGAATTAAAAAGTGGTCATTCAATACACGCTGGGCCACCGCCTGGTTCTGGTATAATTTTAGCGTACATACTCAGAGTGTTGGACGGTATATTACCGGCACCCAGCGCCGGCTTAGATGCACATCGTTTGGTGGAGGCATTTAAATTTGGTTACGGTGAGCGAACCCATTTAGGAGATCACAAATTCATAAACATGTCTCAAGTATGTATTTTATCGATGAACTACCTACATTACGACCATATGCCGTTGACGTATAATGTTTACAAATTTTTGAATTTGTTTCGTAGATTTACGACAAAGTGAAATCGGATAGCTACATAGATAAAATACGCAGTCAGATATTCGATAATTTCACATCGTTAGACCCTAAGTACTATGGAGGTGATTTTGATATGCCAGAAAATCATGGAACCGCCAATATGGTCGTGATTGATTCGATGGGAAACGCCGTCATAAGTACTAGTACAATAAACACATAGTGAGCACCAATCTATGATCTACACAGCATTTATAATATAACATGAGATATAAATTACACATTACACGACTACTCACGACCGTTCTAACGTACTGATTTCGTTTTTATTTTAGCTTTGGTTGTGGTTTCATGTCTCCTAGCACCGGTATTCTTTTGAATAACGAAATGGACGATTTTTCTACTCCAGGAGTCATCAACTATTATGGAATCCCGTCTTCGCCGGCCAATTACATAGAACCGGGCAAACGACCAATGTCTTCAATGTGTCCGACTATAATTACAGACAAAAATCAAGATTTTGTTCTCGCAGCAGGAGCAGCGGGAGGATCAAAAATCACGCTCGCAACCGCCTACGTAAGATTATGTTACTTTATATCATAATAGTAATTTAGTTTTAAATTTCTATTGTATTACTCATCACATCCATCCTAACTTTATTTCCTCGTACTCTAAGTACTTACTATTTTTGTTCTCAAAATAACATTCAAATACCATTTCACAATATTTTTTGTCCTAAACTCGTAGGTTAATTCTAACCATTGTCTTTATCAATTTAATAGCTTTATTGTTTTATTAACATATACGATTATATTTGTACGTATTATACAACTYTTGAAATATTTTTTTTCTTGTATATAATTAAATGTATATTTTGTACGAAAATGTTACTATAATCACGTGCAGCTAAGATGTGGTTTTCATTATAAGTTAATTGAAATATTGCGAGATTGGGCTGTAAAACATTAATATTATAGATTAAATTAAAAATGTTCTTCTGAACTCATGATGTTGACGTGTTAAAATCTTAAATTCTACACTCACATGGAATGTGCTTTTTACATCACGAATGTTATTGACGTTCTTTTGTAACGCTTGTTATAGTTCTCCTGTAATGTATTTAAAGTCATTTATTTTAATCTTAAATGATATTTTATAGATTTCAATATTGTCGTCTTAAAAATTAAAATGGATATTAAACCTATGGAAGTAATTATGATTACATTTAAATTGATCAAACTCAAAAACATGGTACCTAAACAAACAATGACAAATATAGTATATTTTGAACTATATCAATCAAATTGCTAATATGGTCTATTGGTATGGGGTGGCCTTCGGGATAACATGTTAAATGTACTAGTAGTTAATCAAAATAATATAGTCAGAATTTGCCTAAATAAATTCACTCTAGAAGGATCTACGAAAGCCAACTATAAAGAACATGGTGTATTGCCGATAAGGTTTTTGTATAAAAAATTTGCTATTATGTACTTGGTTAAGAAATTTAACTTAGATAAATATCATAAAGAGTTAAGCATTGAGGAAATTTGATTTGACTGTTAATTATACAAATAAATCTTTTAGTCAATGTTTTGTAGATTATCTTGGACCAACGTTTTTCAATTCTATGCCTTTTGAATTTAAAAAAAAATACTTAGGGATGAAAGGATTAATAGTAAAGACTTGGTATATAAATATTTATTTCTTGAGTTAAATAATGAGTTGCTATAATTTTATTTTATATCTAAGCTTTATAAATATTAATCTATGAGGTTTTATTTGTGTATCTTAGATTAATATGTTTATTTTATATTTCTTTCTTTATCATGTACATTTTCTTGATAATATTTCTAAACTACATTTGTATATTTAGCTTATATGCATTTAGAACTTATACTCTATATCTTTTAAATTCTATAATTTTAATAATTGTATCATATATTATATAATAACTCTCTTTCTCCAAAACAAGCTTTGCTTAAAGGAGAAATATAATCGAAAATGTTACTCAATAATAATGTATGTATTTATGTATTTTTCGATTATATATTAAAAAAAAAAGAAATTTTAAATATTATAGCATTGGTATTGTATAACAACTAAAAATATATACGAATACAAGAACCAAGTTTATCATTCTATTATAAATATTAAATTAAATACAATGTTATTCTGAATGGTACATGATTTCAAATAATAAGATGTTATTATTTTAAGGTGATTGCTCTTAAATTATGGTATAACAAAACGTTGAAAGAAGTAATAGACAAACCAAGAATTTTCCATCAACTTGTACCTATGCAAGTTCAATATGAATACGGAACAACTAGAGTAATATTGAAATATTACATTTTACAAAACATTTTACTGATTATATTATTTACTTGCCTACCTTGTTTTATTGCTTAGGATGTAATACAACAACTTAAAGATATTGGCCATCCAGTGATCCGACTGTCGAGTATCGGGTCTTCAGCAGCAACAGCTATCGCCAAATCGGCATCCGGAAT